GGCGTTGACTTTTTTTTTTTTTTTTTTTTTTTTTGAATTGTTTTTTCTTAGAAAAAAATATTTTAATTAATATTACTGTCTTGACTACTAAATTACTGTCTCAGACAGTCATATTACTGTTTGGGACAGTAATATTATGAATATTATTTTTCCGAACAGTAATATTATTAATATTATTGTCTAAGACAGTTAAATTACTGTTGGAGACAGTAATTTAACATCCAAGACAGTAATATTAATTAAAACAAATTCTTTTGTAAGGAAAAAAATTAAAAAAAAAAAAAGTCAATTAACAGTTAAATTACTGTCTCCGACAGTTAAATAACTGCTGGAGACAGTAATTTAGCAACGAATACAGTAATATTAATTAAAAATATTTTTTTTAAGAATAAAAAAGTCAATTAACAGTTAAATTACTGTCTCCGACAGTTAAATAACTGCTGGAGACAGTAATTTAGCAACGAATACAGTAATATTAATTAAAAATATTTTTTTTAAGAATAAAAAAGTCAATTAACAGTTAAATTACTGTCTCCGACAGTTAAATAGCTGCCGGAGACAGTAATTTAGCAGCCAAGACAGTAAAATTAATTAAATTTTTTTTTTAAGAAAAAACAAAATTTTTTTAAAAAAAAAAAAAAAAAGTCAACCCCGGGGGCCCGGGGGTCAACGGCCGTTGCCCGGCCGGAAATTTTTTTCGGGGAAACGAAAATTCAAAAAAAAAAAAAAAAAAAAAAAAAAAAAAAAAAAAAAAAAGTCCACGCCGGAATCTGGCCGGAAAAAAAATATTTCAGAAAAAAAAATTTATTTTCTGAAAAAAAAAAATTTGGGGTTAATGTGATATATTTGTTTAAATCCGGGGTCAATGTGTAATATTTAAGAAGTTAGAGCATAATGGGTGGAATTGATAAGAATTAGGGTTAAAATTGGGGTCAAAATTGAAATTAGGTTTAAAATTGGTTAATTGATGAAATTGGGCTAAATTGGGGTGTAAATCATGAAATTGGAGTTGAATTGGGTTTCAATGAATTGGGGGTAATTTTGGTACATTTTGGTATATATATAGGGATTTTCCTTATTTGCAAATAAGTTTGAATGGGGTGGGTTTATTTGAAAAACAAAAAAGTTGGATGTCCCTTTTTTAATTAAGTGCCCTTGTCATGGGCCTATTTGCTATTACCCCAATAAAATAAGAATTAAAAGTTGAAATAATTTTTGAATTATATTTTTTCAAATCGGAATGGATATTTTAGATTTTCAAATTCTTTAAATCAATATTGAAGATCGTCTTTCACTTCTAATTTTGTTTTTTCTCCAAAAATCGCAGTTATGATTCAATATATCTAATTTCTATCAATTACCTCTTATAATTAAACAAAAATCTAGTGAGATAAAGTAAGATTCTATTTTTTAATGTTTGTAAATTAACATGTAAAATAGGCAATTATACAATTTTAAAGTTATTTTATAAAATTAAAATTGAATCAAATTAGAATTTTAAATATTATTTTTACCACGAATAAAAAAATAGAAAAAAGTATCTCTTATATTTGCTTTTTATCTATAAAACAATAATATAAAACGTAAAGTGAGGAAACAAGGGGTTGTCTAGGGTCCGAGAGGGCCGTACTTCTCGGACCGTAATTATCCAATAGAAAAATGCCACGTAGGATTAAGCGCAAAATTACGTAAAAACCCATGTTTAATAAAAACTTAAAATTTATATTATAAGATTAATAATTTAAAAGTTAACAACAAATCAAAAATTTAAATCATATTAAAATAAATTATAATCTTCCATTCCGTAACAAGAACGGAAGCCCTAATATTATTTTTTCGTCGTCATCGTCCTTTTCCACCATTCTTCTTCTTCTTCTTCATCAATCATTATCTCCCTAAAAGGAATTTCTGGAAAAATAATTCATGAACATATTTTGGGTTTGTCTTGATAGTCACTTCGTTGTGTATGTTTCTTTGATATTGCTATTCTGATATGGGATCGTTTTGTGCAGTTTTTCCTGTAAAAAAAAATCATATGTTTGCATTTAATTTTAATTCAAAAGAATTATCATACGTTGCAGGCAATTGCTCTATCCCTTGAAAGATTTTGTAAGGTTTTTAGATGTAAGAAGCTTTCATATATTTTCTTGCTAAGAAGCTACAATGTCATACAGTTCCTCCTGTTTGATATTTCATTATTCTTCCTTTACAGGTCAAATCGTGGTACTTTACACGGTACTGATCTCGCAGCTTTCTAGCAAACATTGTCCAAGATAATTGAGGATCCACAGAGCTGGCTCTTTAAATCCATATCATCGTCGAATATTCTGTTATATAGATGATACATTAGTTATCCTGTTAGAAGTTTTTGTCTCATGAACATTGATGTTTTTCTCTTGAAGTTGAGGCTATCAAATTGTAAATTAGTTTTATGGATCTGGTTCTTGTCGATAGCGATACTTACTGGTTGTTTATGATATTACATTCAGTTCTTTGTTTCCATATTCATTTCATGTCGATGATGCTCATTTCTTCACATACGAGCTAATATTTCATTTTGTTTCCAAGCCAAGATTAGCTGACATACGAGTATGCGATCTTATGAGAACTCAATTATATACTTGGGTTAGGGCAATGGTTTGATTCACAATTCCGAAATAAACCAGATAATAGTTCATTCTCTTGCGGGTTATTACGCTAACCAAATATCAAATACGACACCTAATTATTTAATTAATAACACTTAAGGCCACTGCCACCACAAATGGAATTTCTTTTCATCTCACAACATAAAGCAATGACATATAGATTCAATCATGGTTTTGTAGCACATTTTTCATCCATGAGTTGATTTTACTATGTAATTCAGTCAATTTTAGTATTTTTCCAGATAATCGTATTTAAATTTGAGATGTACGAATCTGCATGTGTTGATATTTGAAAAGGTGTATTATAATACAAAATTATCTTTTTACTTGCACAGTAAAGCTAAAATTATCGATCAACAATACATCTCCTTTCTGCCATGGGATGTCTATGCTTTCATCTTCTAAGAATTCAGACAATCCAACAAAGGATTTTCGTCCCCATTCGTCCTCAAAAGTCACCGGCTTCTTGGTCCCATTCTCATTTTCGCTCCATTTTCTATGCAGCTTACATTCAATTTAGCAGCCCTGTTAAATGGTAATTAGTACAAGATTATTTAAGAAAATGTCTGAAAACATTGCCGAAAAATAATTAATTACAAACTGTTCCTCAGCCACACTCTTGTACTTTGTCGAGAAGGTTGATATCCAGTCACGGGCGATTGCGACCAAGGATCGTCTTCTTCGCCCATGCTTCTCGTTCTCAAATTTCTCTACCATTTGCAGAAAAACAACAACTTCGAATGCAGAAACAGAGTACTCCAAATCCATAGAAAACTATAAAGGTTTTGTGTTTCTTTGCTACTCTTGGGATTTAATATCCCTAAGTTATACTTTTAGTTTACATGGATTTACAACTAATGTACCACTGCTACCTTAAAGTTCTCTCGATGAACATTAAAAATATCAAATAAATTCTCCATTGAAGAACAAAACCGAAATTAATTAAAAGTAACATGTTCTTCAAAGAAAGGAAAAAAAAACGAGGTTAGATCTAATTGAGGGTAGGAGGGGCAATCTATGTCAAAATATCATCACCTCCTATTTTATATTACACAAATTAACCAAATTAATACTCTGTAGCACGTCAAAGATTAAATCTTCTTTATATTCTGTCGGACGTGGAAGTTGGAGGCAAGGTCGGTTTTATGGCGGTTTCCATCGGTTTTATGGTCCTTTCTTGGTTGTCCGGCCATCGGGAAAGATTGAGAGGGCCGATGAACGACGAAGTATCTCATCACATATTTTGATTGGAGGAAAAATATTTAGGAGTTTTTGATTAACCTGTAAATTTTGTTTATTTATCGTGATTATCATAAATATTTTTAATGGAGATTTTAATTCATTATTTAAGTATCTAAGGCTAGTTCAGTAATTTATGTAAAGTACGATGTGGGTACGGTGTGTGTACGATGTGGTTTCGTGGGTTCGTACAAATCCCTAGTGTCGTACTAGATTGTACAAAAAATTGATGGTTGAGATTAAATTTGAACTATTTGTACGCACCAGATTGAATATGTTACGGTCCGAGAAGTACAGCCTTCTCAGGACCCTAGACAACCCCAGGAAACAAACCCAAAAAATAAATTTCAAAATCTAAAATATCATGATATATTAACTTTGTTTTATTAAAATCTCACATGAAATTGATATAGGGTGCATAATTTGATGGTGAACTTTGGCAATTTTAAAATTTTAGAGTGCAAAGTGCCTTTTAGTGCTACTTCTAGGGTGAAAAGCGCAGTTCACCTATTTATTCCGTATGTTCCCAAGAGCTAATGGAAATTATTTTATAACATTTATCGAGTAATATTTGCATGATAAATTAAAAGTGGACCCATTGACTTTAACCAAATACACAATAATATTTTTGAGGAGGAGGAACTAATTTTCCCAATTTACTGACCAACTCTTTTTGTCAGTATCACAATTAACACGTATATATATATATATATAATAATATATAGTCCATGAGAGAAAATAAATGAATTAAATTGTGTAACGACCAACAAGGACAATCAATTCTCACATCACTATACACAAAAAAGAAAAAAATAATTAGTAGAAGAAAAAGACAACCTTAGATGACGTCGAAATCCTACCTGTTCCGCCACGTGGCACTCCACTCCCGGCCCCACCATTTTTTTCCATCTTGTTTACTTTTCAAATTTGGTACCGTAATAGAGATCTTTCTTTCTTCCCCTTTGGCTTCTCTTTTACTGCAGAGATCAAAAAGTAATTGAGAGTTAAAAAGTCACATCCCTCTCTCTCTCTCTCTCTCTATTATATACATATATATATATATATATATATATATATATATATATATATAAAATATATATATAGAGTCCGTGACTGTGTTTGAGAGAGAGAGAGAGGCGAAATCCAACTGCAACTGCTGATGACGAATATCAATCAGCAGCACCCACGCGCCGCCGCTGTTAATTAACTTCTTTCTCTGTCTTCCCATGGCGGAGGTTGAATTCGAGTCCGTGTTGGAATTCCTGAGGAAAAATGGATTACCAGAGTGCGAATCAGCTCTAATGGAAGATGTCAGGGATATATCTCAACTTGGCTCTTCTGAATTGGAGAAGTTCTTATTTCCCATGGTGCCGCCTCCGCCGCTGCTCAGAATTCCGTCGACTCGGCGGCTTCCCCTTCCGCCGGATCTTTCCGATGATGAGTTTGTGAGTTTGGGTTCTTCTACCACTGAATTATGTTCTTCTGGTACTCTTTTTTATTCCTTCCTTCCTTCCTTTTTATGGCATAATAATTTAAGTAATAACTATCTGGTTGTTGATTCAATTCTTTGCATTGTTTTGTCAAAAACGGTGCCGTTTTTGATACCTTGTTTGTTTCTGTATTACAACAATTCAGTGATCAATTTAATCCAATTGTGGTTACTGGTAAATATAAAATTTGATTGTTTTGTTGAACTCCAGAATTTATAAACCCTTATGGAGTTCGTACGACTAGACCGACTTCTGAAGCTTCGTCAGAGAGATTATCTCAGTTTGGCACAGCTAGAGATTACCCTGATTTCGATATGCAAAACGACCTCTTCTGGTACAAGGAAAAAGACGAAGACTACCCTATGCCGCCCCTCTTTCTTGGTAGAGATTTCTACGGTGAAGAAAGTGATGATAAGTATGTATTAATGGCTGATCGAACAGGCGAACGCTTAGATGATCAACTCCCTCTTAGTTTTATATCTGATGATAAAAGCATCGAGCGCGTACATACTCAAACTCAATGCAAAAGGGAGGATTCGATAGATAATGAGAATGACAAGTATGACTTTAATGTGTACAATGAAGCAATTGCGGCAGAAACCCATGTGGCGAATGACGAGGCCGGTGATGATCTTGTGATACACGATGCTAAAGAAGATGATTGTGAGACTTTCAATCTGAGAATTATACACCGAAAAAACAGGTTTGTAAGTCATTAATTGTGATTTTATGACCAATTTGTTTCACAATGTTAATTATGATACAATAAGGCCTCGTTTGGTTCGTAACATAAGATTAGTCATGATATAATTAAATAATCTTATGAAAAACCCAGTCGTATTATTGGTCCATGGGAGGTCCAATAAAAGATCTCGCAATCAGCCAAGATTAGAGCCATTTTTTCCACAATTGCTTTAGGCCTCGTTTGGTTGGGGGGTTTAGCCATGATTAACTAAATGATTGGAATTTGTTTGATTTTTGGTAAACCCCATAACTTCTCGGGTCGACCCGGAAATATTATGTTATCATGCCTTTTAGGGAGGTTTTTTTATTGACCTTCCAGGATCCAATGAAACAATTGGGTTTTCATTAGATTATTTAAAGTTATCTTAGCTAATCCTAGCTTGGCAACCAAACGAGGCCTTATTGGACTAACCAAACATTCAACAAGGTCCAATTATTTAATTAATTATGGCTAATCTTACCAGCCAAACGAGGTCCGAGAGGACTAATATGTAGCCATTTGTGTCATTATTCACAAGATTATTCAGTGATTGTGTCGTATACAGTTGTATATTCATCTGTTGTGCCATTCACAGGACAGGGTTTGAGGAGAACAAGGAATTTCCTATTGTAATAAATGGTATTATAGCGGGTAGATATTATGTAACAGAGTTCCTTGGATCTGCTGCGTTCAGCAAAGTTGTACAGGCGCACGATCTTTACTCGGGAATTGATGTTTGCTTAAAGATAATTAAAAACGACAAGGACTTCTTCGATCAGAGTTTAGACGAGATCAAACTTTTAAAGTTTGTTAACAAGAATGACCCTGCTGATGAGCATCACATTTTACGTCTTTATGATTACTTTTACTACCAGGTTAGTATGCCTAAAAATTAAACTTATATTCCACAACGGAAAATATGTATCGACTGGGGAGTGGTTTTATTTCGGTGTTTTATTAAATTTAAATGCAGGAGCACCTGTTTATCGTTACTGAACTTCTGAGAGCAAACTTGTATGAGTTTCAGAAATTCAACAGGGAATCGGGTGGGGAGCCATATTTTACATTGCACAAGCTGCAGGTCCTTTTTTTTTTTTTTTTTTTTTTTATCACTTTGTCAATAAAAGACATATATTTTTACAAAATAACATATACCAAGTGTCATGTTTCTGACACGAAATGGAATATTAAGGTTGCCTATGCTCTTACAGGTGATAACTCGACAGTGTCTGGAGGCATTATCGTATCTGCATGATTTGGGAATCATCCACTGTGATTTAAAGCCTGAAAATATTCTGATCAAAAGCTACAAACGATGCAAGATTAAAATTATCGATCTTGGAAGCAGTTGCTTTCAGACAGACCATTTGTCACTTTATGTGCAGTCTCGTTCTTACAGGGCACCTGAGGTTATGTTAGGCCTTCCTTATGGCCAGAAGATCGACCTTTGGTCTTTGGGGTGCATTTTAGCAGAGTTGTGCTCCGGGGAGGTAATGCAGGAGTATTTTAGCGAGGCGTTATTAGTCATTGTTTTTAGCATCGATTTTAATTAGATATAAATATGGTTATGAAATGGGGCAGGTACTTTTCCCGAATGAAGGTGTGGTAATGCTGCTTGCACGTATGATAGGAACAATTGGTCCGATCGACATGGAAATGCTGCATAAGGGCGAGGAGGTGCACAAGTATTTTACGAAAGAATATGATCTTTATTATTTAAATGAGGTATGTTTTCATATGCCTCGTTAAAAATATCAATAAATTTTGGGAAAAGCTTTCGGTTTGTTTAACCGAATAAGTTGTTGATTATGCAAAACAGGATACAAAACAGGTTGAGTACATTGTTCCCGAGGAGTCATCTCTGGAAAACCACCTTCAGATTTGTGATTATGGTTTCGTCGAGTTCTTGAAATTCTTGCTTGAGATAAATCCGAAGAGAAGGCCTACAGCGAGAGAGGCACTAGAGCACCCTTGGCTTTCCCATTCGTATATATGAGGTTGCTGAGTGAAGAATGTATATCTGTAAAGCCAAAATGTCTTTGTTGATTCTGTTGTAGGGTATAAATCTGGTACATGTTGTATATAGATGATTTTTTGTTCCTTTTTTTTAAATGGGAATACAGGTTCTAAGAATTGAAGATGACAGACACTCGAGTGTAAGTATATTTTTTTGGAAAAATAAATTTGAAAAAGTAAATTTTTTTTTGTCAGTTAAATCATATTCTTTTTTACTATGAATGTTTCATCAATACTCTGTGTATGCAATTAATTATTATTTCCTTTCTTTTGAATAAGGGTAAATTCCACTTTACTCCCTTATACTTTGGCTCCCTCATACTTTGGCTGGATATCACTTTACCCCTTGTACTCTCAATTGCATCGATTTACCCCCTTATACTTTGGTTGGATATTACTTTACCCCTTCTACTCTCAATTCATCGATTTGCCCCCTTTTACTTTGGCTTGATATCACTTTACCCCCATCTACTCTCAATTACATCGATTTGCCCCCATTTACTTGAAAAATTATTTCAATGTGGCCATCGCCGTTAGTTTTCAGACTTCTGACTTTAACACCGTTTGATCTAAATTTGAAAATAACAAAAAAACCACCCCTCCCAGTTTAAATAATTATTAATAAAATAAAAAAAATAAAAAATAAATTGTGGCTGGTGTCGTGGACTTTGTTTTCTCGCTGTCTTGAATTTTTTATTATGTTACTTTTTTTTGTTTGTTATTTTTTTTTTTTTTAATTTTATTAATAATTATTTAAAATGGAGGGGTGACATTTTAGTAATTTTCATATTTAAATCAAACGGTGTTAATGTCAAAGGTCTGAAAACTAACGGCGATGGCTACATTGAGAGAATTTTTCATGTAAGGGGGACAAATCGATGCAATTGAGAGTATAAGAGGGTAAAGTGATATCGAGCTAAATTACAAGGGGGCAAATGGATGAATTGAGAGTAGAAGGGGTAAAGTGATATTGATCCAAAATACAAAAGGACAAATCAATGCAATTGAAAGTACAAGAGGGTAAAGTGATATCCAGTCAAAGTACAAGAGTAAAATGGAATTTACCATTTGAATAATTCAAGAACTCTTTGCACATCGATAACTTAATGAATGAGTTGACTTTGTCAAGGACAACTCCAACACCGGCGTCAAACTTTTTAATGGGTAAATAACATAATTCCTTTGTTGTGGACAGTGGCAAATTCAAGATTCTTGTCAAGGGTGTTTGCAATTAAATATAGTAAAAAATATAATGGTTGGGTAAAGCCCTGAATTTTTTTTAATTCTATACACATTAAATAATAAAAATATATAATATTTTCAAATTTAAATGCATTATTTTACAAATTTTGGGCTAATTTATGATTAGAGAACTCTACCAGTTCAACTAGCATTGTTTGTTCAAATTGCACATTTAAAACTAGGGCGAATGGCAAAAATGGTCATTCCAAGGGATTTAAATGCACATTGGTCCAAAAAAAAAAAAAAAAAAAAACAGTTTTCAAATACACCCATCCTCATACCTTTAGTCAAAAATATCCTCCATAATATATTTTTTTTGTCAATTCCATCCATTATGTTCTAAGTTCTTTAATATTACACATTGACCCCGGATTTAAACAAATATATCACATTAACCCCCCAAAATAATAATTTTTTGAAAAAATATTTTTTTTTTCAGAAAATAATTTATTTTCTGAAAAAAAAAAATTCCGCCAAGATTCCGGCGTTGACTTTTTTTTTGAAATTTGTTTTTCTTAAAAAAAATATTTTAGTTAATATTACTTTCTTGGCTACTAAATTACTGTCTCCAACAGTTATTTAACTGTTTGGGACAGTAATTTAACTTTTAATTCACTTTTTTTTTTCTTAAAATATATTTTACGTACAGCTCAATCCCGAATAGTTCATTCCACGTGCAAATTCAAATGGTGATAGCCCCAATCGATACACAAAGCGTTCAACCCAGATGCATGTACAAACCTAGTGAGAGAATCTCTAGATTTGACTCACTCAACTACAACCTCGAACACAATCACAAACTCACAATGTTTTATTCGAGTCAAGAGATTCTCTCACTCACCGGATATGTGAGAGAAACCAAGAAACTGAGTATAGCAAAAGGTGTATGTGTTACTCTCTATATCAAATGGCCAACCGATATATAGAAATAGAACCAAAAGCAAAATGACCGTAGTGGAGGAACCCCTCGTTCATCATAGTCAACAACGGAGGTAGTCGGAAACAAGCAAAGTGAAGTAAATATGGTTCTAAGGCGAAGAGAGAGAGAGAGAGAGAGAGAGAGAGAGAGAGAGAGAGAGAGAGAGAGAGAGAGAGAGAGAGAGAGAGAGAGAGAGAGAGAGAGAGAGAGAGAGAGAGAGAGAGAGAGAGAGAGAGAGAGAGAGAGAGAGAGAGAGAGAGAGAGAGAGAGAGAGAGAGAGAGAGAGAGAGTGAGAGAGAGAGAGAGAGAGAGAGAGAGAGAGAGAGAGAGAGAGAGAGAGAGAGAGAGAGAGAGAGAGAGAGAGAGAGAGAGAGAGAGAGAGAGGCTAGAGAAATATATTTCATTTTGTTTCAGAAAAAGATATTTTAGGATAAAAATTTCAATGTAAGACTAACGTTTGTTTATATTTTGGAAAAACACAAAAATAGCAGTCAAATCATGTCTAAAAATATTGGTAAAAAAATATTTTAAAAAAATTGAAAATCAAAATGATGTTTGTTTGGTTTTTAGTGAAGATGTTACTATATCATTGAATTATGTTTGAGGTGAGAAACTTTGGAATTGTTTTGAAAATTGTTTTTTGAAAAACTTAACAATTATTAATTTATTTAGGAAATAATGGGAAAAAAATGAAAACATAACCAAATATGGTATAATTATTGGTTTAATTTATTTTCAACAATTGATTTCAGAGTTGGAACTTTAATCACTTGCAAAATTCCAATTTTGACTTGAAAAATCGAAAAACCTTTAATTTATGGATATGGAACGCACTTACCTAGGATTCCGACTAACTTGGCCTGAGAATGTGTCTTATGTAGCAACCTCACACACAACAAAAAAAGAAAAAAAAAAGAAAAAAAAAAAGAAGTGATTATAAATTAGGTAGTGCAACTCTTTTTTATTCGAGTAACAAAGTGCAAAATGGCCTAAATTCAGGTGACAAATTGCTATTTTAACCTTTAAAAATTGTTTGTTTTGCTTCACAAATTTCAAGATACTAGGAAGCACCACGTGCGTTGCACTTGATTGCGTATGATTTTACTTAATATATATCTTATTATTAATTAATAAAAGTTACATACTATATTTTTAAATAAAATTAAATAAGTACAAAATTTCATGTTCTACTTATGTAACAAAATGTACGATGAAATAAAATTATTCTGAAATTTATATGAATAGGAATATAAAACCACAAGAAATAACTAAAATAAATTGTTATATATTAATACATGCATAGAAAATGCTCACATTAAAATTTCTCTTTGTGATAGTTGATAATTTCCAATATTTTGAATTTCTCTGCATAATTATTGTTTGAAACAATTAAGTATTTTTTCGTGTTATTCAGTCATATGTTATTATCACTCTGGTCAAATTTACCAACAATTTCCTTCAAAAAAGTATAAATTTACTACATTAGGCCTTGGTATTAAGTGTAATTACTGCATCTAATTAAAAAAAAAATGCATTTCTTAATTGATGTAAATGAATTGTAATAAATGATCAAATATAATTTGAAGTGCTTCATCTGTCCCATATTATTTTTCTTTTTGGGGTGTTTTTTTTTTCCAAATTATTTATCATTTTAGATTTCTAATAAAGCATTCATTGCGTTCTTATCAATTTTGCCATTTATCACTTTTAATTAATTAGTTGGAACAATATTAATGACAAGAATATTTTAGTATTTACTATGTTATTTTTGGTATGATCTATGCATATTTATTGAGTTTCTTAATATTCGTGCAATCACCCAAAACAACATAATATAGGATAGATGTAGGGATGGCAATTTTTAGCCAACGTAAGAGTACCCGCCCCGAAATTTCCGGGTAATGCCCGCTCCGCAAATAAATGGGTCGTGTACGGATTCTATTTTTTTCCCCAAAATCGGTTCGGGTAGGGTGTGGATTTGTGTATAGCGGCCTACACACACACACACACACACACACACATATATATATATATATATATATATATATATATATATATATATATATATATATATATATATATATATATATATATATATATATATATATATGATATGCATAATCGGGCCAACCCAATGGGCTTACAATTCCTTTATCTATTGGGCCACAAACTCAATATTGAAGACCACTACCACTGAGGCCCAATCGCCTTCAAGTAAGGTTCGGGCCCGACAATCTCAACTAAGGTATAAATAAAGGTTTGAACTCATTCCTTAAGGTACGTCCAATTAACTGAGCAATACTACAATATGTACTATCTGGACTATTTCCACTATCCGCACGTCTGACTTGAGCGTTGGAGGGGTTTTCGCCGGATCAACCCCCGGCCTAGTTTATGTCTTCTATGATCGCAGGTATCTCAAGGTCATCAAGCTCATAAGTCAGTGATCCACTCTGCTCTTCGAGCTCATCCTACTTCAACTCTCTAAGGTGATCTATCTCTAGCATCATCATTTTGGTGCCGTCTGTGGGAAGGCAGACATAATCACGTAGTGGGCATGATGGTCTGAGACATTTGCCCAGGGGGAGTGTGACACTACTAACGACCTCCCACCTCACGGATGCTCTGGCTTATCGATTCCCCCTCCCCGCATTCGGGATTCAATATAAGTTCATCCTCGCGAGGCCCCATTGGGTCCTCAACATGATCAACTTCTACTTGCTCCTCGAACGGTTCAGATAACCGATGAGGATTTTCAGCGTATAATCGCGGAAGCTTAAACAAGATCAACTTCTACTTGCTCCTCCAACGGTTCAGATAACCGATGAGGACCTCAGCGTATAATCTCGGAAGCTTCAACTCGTGCTGCCACTAATGCAGTGGCACCATACATCGCCATAGCAAGAGTCATCGCTCCTCCTCGTGAGGCCCCACTGGTTCCTCAATAAGATCAACTTCTACTTGCTCCTCGAACGGTTCAGATAACCGAAGAAGACCTTCAGCTTATGATCACGACAGATTCAACTCGTGTTGG